AATTGATTAATAATTATTAAATAATTATTCTTGCTGGAGATTTCAACCTTTCACCAAGTTCAAGACAGTATTCTCTGATAATTAACGGTGACTGCTGAAATGTCTGAATGGAAAGTTTTGAAAATAGGCAGGATACATCAAATTAGATAAATCCCTACAGATATGACTCCTCCCTCTCAAACAACACCATAGTAATATATACACATCGAAAAAGTATTATTGCACCACCCTGATTTCTCTCGCAAACCAAAATATTATAGTATATAATATTAGTTGTGGCTCCAAAAGTATATTTTTTTTTTGCGTTTTAGCTCTCCCTTTCAGTTGAGATAATGATAGCCTTTTATAGCTTGTTATGGGGTATGGGTTTTGCTCATTGTTGAAGGTCGTACGTTGACCAACAGTTGCTAACTTCTACCTCATTTTGTCTCTGGTGATGAGTTGTCACATTTGCAATCATACCACATCTTATTTGTATGTCTATAGATATAGGAAGATGTGGTATGAGTGCCAATGAGACAAATGTCCATCCAATTAACAATTAATTAAAGTAAACCATTATAGGTCAAGGTACGGCCTTCAACACGGAGCATTGACTCACACCGAACAGCAAGCTATAAAGGGCCCCAAAAATTACTAGTGTAAAACCATTCAAACGGGAAAACCAACGGTCTAATCTATATAAAAACGAGAAACACGTATGAACTACATAAACAGACGACAACTACTGTACATCAGATTCCTGACTTAGGACAGGTGAAAACTTTTGCAGCGGGATTAAACGTTTTAATGGTACCAAACCTTCTCCCTTTTCTGAAACAATAGTATAACATCACAACATAGAAAGACACACTATGAAATATCAATTGGAAGGCTTAACTCAATCAAAAAACGTAAATTAACACACAATGAACGCATAAATTTGATCTGTGATACCTTAATGCAAATACATAGTTAATAAAAATTATAAGGGATAAATAATTAAGGTCAAAAGTAAATAAACAAGCAGAATTGTTCGTATTTTTGCCTGTTAGCTGTATCAACTATCTAACGAGAGTGGCGAATTTAACTAAATTTAACCACTCCATATAATTCGTGTACCTGTCCCAAGGCAGGAACCTGTAATTCTGTATACTTAGATCATATTTGTTTTTAGCATAAATCAGGACGTTGATTTATTCTTTTGAACTGTGAGTGTTGTTATACAGGGGTACACCTCGTAAGTTAAATGATTGATTGACTAATTGCTGGTGTTTAACGCTGTTTTAAGCGCTTGTTTGCTATATCTTGCCGGTCATTTTTTTTATTGGTGGAAGCTGCAGTGCCCGTAGAGGACCACCGACCTTAGGCAGGAAAACTGGCAATCCTAGTCAATTAAGATTGGAGTCGAACACACCTGCCACGTGCTAATATGTACTCACAACTTCAGTGTTGACAGAATAGTGATACAGTAGATGAACTATTTAGAACACACGACCACCAAGGCCCCCTCAGAAGTTAAAATGTGTGTCATATCCTTTGCCATTCCTCTCGTTTTTTTGACAATAAAATAAGTTTAAAGTAAGGTATGTCGTGGCCTTTTTTAGCTTACTATACGGATTTTGGTTTTTCCTCATTTTTGAAGGCCGTACAGTTTCCTACATAATTGTTAACATCCACACCATTTATACTCTGGAAGACAGTTGGATCATTGGCTTTCAAACCATATTTTCATAAACATTCTAAAGTCTAAAAGAAATGATTACAAGAGCAAGCGGCTTTAGTTTAACTGATACAATGATACTTGTTGTCATGCAAGTATTTGTACTTCTAGGAAATTGTTCGGAATACGTTTTAATTAATATACCATAATCATTTTGAGTTAATTAATTCTTTAAGGGATATGCTTTGAAGATTGTTCTATCCTTATAGATATCACTTCGCGAATCTTTATTTAAAATCAATAAGATAATTACTTCTTAATTATACCTTAAACCAGTTCTAATTGCTTCAACGCAATATGTCTAGGCTTTATATTGCTACTAAAAGTGCATCGCATTTCATCTTTAAAAATAAAGAAGACTTAACGAGATCTTCGAATTTCAGAATCCGATACCAATTTGACTGGTATTGATGTCTCTGTGGGAAAAAGTTGGATAAAATGTCAGTGTTTTTGTATAGCAATATATATGGATAAAATGAGAGTCCAATAAACGCCAATACGACAGTGACACAACAACACAAAACAAAACCTAAAAGGCATCCAGAAGTCAACCAATAGTCTTCAACAATAGAAATATTTAAGTTTTACAAGCTTTATGGACTAAAGTCGATTTAGGGCTTGATATTTTGTCAAGACACATATGTCGTCAACAACAAATTTCCCAAATAACAAAATACATAAAAATATAACATCAGACAACCACCGACGAGTAAATATTAATGGGTCATTAATAAAAGAAAATGTGGTGTTTACGTCAATGAGACAGAAACCAGAGAACGAGTTATATCAACCAAAACTAGAAATAAGTGATCAGTTTACTGTTGTTTTGACACATTTTCGAACATGAAGTAAATCAATATCGAATGATAAGAGGGGTTGAAGGGTAAGAGGGTCTGAATGGGGTATGTCTTCATTTCTCTATTCTGTGTCATTTTTCACAGTTCTTTTTTGTTTGTCTATTTTTCTTTTATATTCTTGTCGGTAATAGTTCCATATGGCACCCCATCATACTAAAAGAACACAATAATGCATTACAGTTTATTCCGTGGGGTGCCATATGGAACTCTGTCCTTGTTGTCTATTCTTTAATTTTTTTGGCACATTTTCTCGTTTTTTTTTCCATTATTATCTATCCTGTAAACACAATCCATACCCTCATTTAAGGCACTTGCGTAAAAAGGTGAGAAAAATGTATATACTAGACAAGTATGCTTGGAGTAATGTGTGAACTATTATCCGTCTGAAGGTGCAAATGACGAAATCGTGTCAGTAGACGGGTGAAAAAAAAATCCTTGGTTTATTTTCCTAATTATTAGTCGCGTTTTGAATATGGATTTCTACATGAGTTCATGGTTTCTATTATAACGGGGCGACTATTTGATATTCGGGATGATTTTTGGAAAAATGAATAATCTGGCCTTATAAGGATTGATAAATAATAGCTTTACCAAAGACGATATGAAAACGAAAATTCTGCCCAACAAAATGCAGGTACACAAGTAAAAATAAGCCAGCAGGACATGCAACAGTGGAAAATGAATATTTCGTCCGCAAATAATCATCGAAAGGTCCTGGGTTCAATAGCCGGTTAATTCAAACCAAAGACTTAAACATTGGTTTTTGGTGTTTCTCCTCTAAGCACGCTAAATAATAGCAGACATTGCATAGTCGGTCCAGAGTCAGAATAATTTGTCCTGGTATGGTTATGACATTATCTTCCCGTGGGCTGTTACCATATAACGACACGTTAAAGATCCGCCTTAATGTGTCTGTCTATACATTCTAGCTATATATATATATTGTTATTTATTCTTTGATTATTTGTTGGCACATTTTTTCCTCTTTTTTAGCCCAGTATTCTCTTTTCTGTAAACTCATAGTATATATAGCTAGAAGAATGCATAATCAACATGTTCCCGACCTGAATATGTCTATGATATTTGTCACTGGACGTGAAACAGCTATCCTGTCATCTATGGTTATTTGTCTACATGCCATTTATCTAGACTTCCCAACGGTGAATTTCCAACAGTCTTTACACTACGTCAAGTTTTTAATGCATATGCAATGCGATATGATTGTCAAAGGGACAATTATCCACCAATATTAAAATGACGTAGATTTAAGCAACTACAGGTCACCGCACGGTCTTCAACAATGAGCAAAATTCATACCGCGTAAAGTCAACAATAAAAGGCTCTCGTATGACACAATGTGGAACAATTCACACGAAAAAACAGCCCGATTTGTGACAAAACAATAAACGAAAAACAAATAAGACAGACAGAAGACCACTTGTCGTTAACGTTGATCCCAAAATATTTAAAAAAAAAAAAACAATAAAAAACTTGCAATATATATGAACAGATTCTTTTGCGCCTGTCCCAAGTCAGGAGTCTTGTATGTTTTTTAATTTTAGTTCATTTATATGTTTTGGAGTTAAGTGTGACGTCCATTTTCACTGAACTAGCACACAATTTTATTTAGGGCCAGCTGAGGACCATCTCCGGGTGCGGGATTTTCTCGCTGCATTGAAGACCCATTGGTGGCCTTCGGCTGTTGTCTGCTCTTTGGTCGGGTTGTTGTCTCTTTGACATATTCCCCATTTCCATTCTCAATTTTAGATGAATTGTTCAGTCTTCCACATGAAGGCGGCCGCTCACTGGAATAAACTGTACCGATACTGCATATGATTTGGAAAGCAGGGTTCAAAGTTGTTGGTTTAATGTTGCTACTCAAGAAAACACATGATCAGAGATCACACTCTTTAAAAGTTTCATGACGTTTCGTCTAAGAAACGAATCGGGAAAGATGTGTCTCAAGGTTCCCAGAGTATTTCCTTATACTTGCGGTTTTATTATAGAAAATGTTGATATCTTGACAGCACAACTTAGTGAACTTACAATAATAAACACAACCTATTTAAACAACTTTTTCATGTTCACTGCTTCATGTGAAATTGTGTATAAATTTTTACAGTTTTGTTCCGCTTCTTTTATATTTACATATCATGTGTTTCGATTTATTTTTAAGATTTTTCAATATTTCTCAAATATATTTGTTTTTGTAAATATATCATTTGTTTTCAAAAGAGAGGCGAAAAATACCAAAGGGATAGTCAAACTCATAAGCCGAAAACAAACTGACATCGCCATGGTAAAAAAAAAAGAAAAAAAGGACCAACAGACAAACTGGTACACAGAACACAATAAAGAAAACTAAAGACTGAGCAATACAAACCCCACATAATATGTTATCTGTGTGTTCACTTTTTACATTTTATATGACAGAATTACTGTAAAATCAACACTCATTTTATTTTGTGCATTTTATTTTGTGCATTTTATTTTAAGCGCCTTTTCAAGTCTTTCACGCATTTCCTGTAGTATTTTGAGCTTAATTGTTCATTTCAATCACAAACTACAGGATTTACGAATATGTCATCTTAAGTTTGATGACTTCCGAAACCCACGCTAGGAGCAGTGTCATTCTTTCTCTCATAAATAACTGTTTACATACATCGAAGTCTTGTTTACACGACATCAAAAGCATTTTAACAGTTAATGCGTAGTATATAAAAACTATCAAACACGAAACTGCCTGATCGTAATTAATTTTGGCTTCACTGAAATGATTGTCGAGAGATTTTGATAATCTTAAAAGCTTGTATAACAAATATCTACTCACATGACTTGTTTGAAATTGTTAGCAATGAGAACAAAAAATTCACATAATTAGTGGAAATATCGAAAATGGACAAGAAACTAAATGTTTATGTATGTTAATCCGTCATAAACGAGGGTTTCCTTTCGTTTTCTTTCTCATAGTTACTCGCCACCGCCTCGAATTCCTTACTACATTTATATTTTAGATTAAATGGGTTACGTTTGAATGTCACTTGTTGTCTACGAGACGCAGACGAAGGTATCGGTGACTTTAGTTTTCCTATATGATTATTATAAACCGACGACGTAGAGTGTGTTTTTGCTGGAAAACTATTCACAACAGTGTCTGTGTTTTTGTCTATTTTCTTCAGGATAGAACGTTTTGGATTTTTCACTCGAGGACTGGTTCTAGTAAAATCATGTTTGGATTCCAAAGGAGGAAGTTTAACAGTTCTTTTTGCCTTTTGAAAATTAAATTCCACCTTCCGTCGTTTCGAAACTTCATTTTCATCATTCGCTACAATGGTAGAGGTGTTGCTCTCATCACTCGGATTTGTTAATGTGCTCTCTCGACTCTTCCTATCAAACATAGGTCTCTGTTTTATTGGAGGCAACACAAGGCGGTTGCTTATGTCACCTACAATCGATTGCGGTGTGCTTTCGTCGTCTCGTTTTACTTTCTTGTTTTTCTTTTTCTTCGAATGTTTGTCTTTTTTCAATTTACATGCATACAGATGTGTTAGAAATTCACTATTATCGGAATAACGTTCTTTAACTTCATCCAATTCTTTCAGTTTTTTCGCCCAATATCCTTCGTCGTGTTCCGATGTAGTTGAATATATCGTACTACGACTTTTCGTAGTTGCCGTACTTGTTGTACTGGTTTCCGATCCTATTCGTGCTGGTTTCCTTCCAGGTAAAATGAATTTGGAGGGTGAAAACTGGTCGTGATATCTGTGATAACCTTTAGTCGGAGACATTTCTCCCTCACTCATGAACATTTCTGTATCTGACACAACACTGTTCTTATATTTCTTCCTTCTTGGTTTAGTATAGGAAGTGAATCGGTTTTGCAATTCATGGTCATCTAAATTCCCAATTAGTCTTAAATTATCTAAACCACCTCCATATGGCACCGAAATGACAGCTGAACTAAGTTTCTGACGTATTCCACTGAAAGCAGATTCTCGCCTGTCTTCCTTAGAAAGCTTTCCCAGTTCTCGTCGAGAATATCTAACGTAACTAGGCAACGCAGTTAGTACATCATCATGTGAATCCATCATGAGCAGATGATACGGATCCTCAAGAATTTGATTAATTTAATATCTTTTTTTCAATATTCCTTGTCCAAATTATCTTACGCAAATGTAATTGAACATGTGTCTGGTCAATTTAATCATCTTAACCTCATTAAGGATACTTCAAAAAGACTGGGCCAAATAAAATCTATTTTCTTCAGGTAATTATTCCGATGAAAAATAGATCATGATTGTAATTCCTCAATGCGAATTAATCCTATTTTTCCGTATAATGTTATCTATTGCAAGAAGTAATTACGGATGCTTTAAAAATATAATCTCCGATTTTCACATTGTTATCAAATTCCAATTAGAAATGATTATTCCATATTAGCACACATTTTTGTTAATAATCCGTTTCATGTTATATTTAACTATTTTCTGTGTCACGTTTGCATTTATATAATCCCGTTTTATTGGTAAAATATTTATTTTGCATGTGTTTTCAATATTAACGTACTAGGTAGATGTCGATTCCACAAACGACCATCCAAAAATGACAGGTAGATCTTAATTAAACGGTACTTGATACTATAATGACTGCTGTACTAGTTAATTTTATTTGTCTATCTGAAATGATACTCAAACATTAAAACAAGTCCAAAATTTAAAACATAAATAATCCATTGTTTTATGACGTAGATTCTATTACTTATATTCAAATCACAATAGAAAGACGAGAGCTATTTGATTTAAAACAAACAACATTTCATTGAAGATCGTAATCAGAGTTTGACTGTGAATTTAAGGACAGTTTGGATTGTTTGGTCACAATGTAGCCAACGGTTCGTGTAATCTAAACGATAACAAGTGTATATCTCTTTTAGCCTTAATAACTGTAAATTACTTGTCAAAATAGTACATGCAAATCTAATTTTCGTGAAAGAAAGTTTGTCAATGATTTTTAATCTAGCATAACAATATTATAATCTATCATTATATTATGATCTTTTCACCTTTGGTTTCGCTTGATTGGTTGTGGCACATGCAAAATGGTGTTAATAGATAATCTTGCAAAATATCCAGATAAATTCTTGGCACAAATGTATTTCCTAAGATCAATAAATTTTCGTGTTCTTTTCGATTTCCTCAATATTTAGAATATTTCACATAGCTCTCCTAACACTCCTTGTGTTGGTTAATCAAAACTATAATTTTGTATTTACATTGTGTCATAGATCAAATTTATTCGTTCAGTGTATGTTCACTTGTTTTTGTCAATATGTCTTTTGATTGAGTTAAGCCATTTCAATTGATATTTTATAGTGTGTCTTTTTGCGTTGTAATGTTACACTACTGTTTCATGTTAGGATGGAGGTTGGCGCCTATTAAAACGTTTAAACCCGCTGCATTTGTTTGCACCTGTCCTAAGTCAGGAACCTGATGTTCAGTGGTTGTCGTTTGTCAGTGATGTGGTTCATAAGTGTTTCTCTTTTCTTGTTTTTTTTCCCTGTTTGAATGGTTTTACACTAGTCATTTTTGGGGCCCTTTATAGCTTGCTGTTCGGTGTGAGCCAATGCTTCGTGTTGAAGGCCGTACTTTGACCTGTAATTGTTTACTTTATACAAATTGTGACTTGGGCGGAGAGTTGTCTCATTGGCACTCATACCACATCTTCTTATATCTATATAAATACTTACAATTATTTGACTTTTTTAAAATAACACAGGAACTTTCTTTCCTTCAAGATGTCATGTACTATTGGATAATTTGGACCTAACGGATGAGATTATGTTTTCTTATCTATATTTCTAATACAGCATAATTAGTAAAGTTAAATATTAAATAAAACAAGGTGGTTATTAGTTACCTTAATATAATAACAGTAAACATTAATTTTAAATCCATGTATTGCTGATGAAATTGTTTTAAATATCAGAATCGAGGATAATTGAGTGCTGTCGATTTTTTCGCATGAATCGAATTTCTTTTCAAAGACTAAAAAAATGGTATACATGCTGCTTCTCTGCTAAGCACGACCCCAAGGGTGACTGGGGGATCAAAGTATGGTCACCATTGGTCTTCCTCCGACCGGCAGTAAAACCCTCGCCAAAGTGGGGCGTCCATTTGTTCGGGATGTACAAATTTGCAGCCACGTCCGGTCAGATGGGGACGTCAAATCCGATGCCTCGTGTAAAGAGAGTGCCACGCTCTTTGCACGTTAAGAACCCTTGCAACAACTCTTTGAGGGGTCCGTAGGTGACCTGTTGCAAGGCTAAATTTCTGTCCCTATCCAATATACCCTCATTTCCAGTGGCAGTCTAAATTTCTCCGACCTTAATCCCGGACGCCTCTATTACAGAACCTACCTATTGTATTTAATGTTAATTTGTTCTCGTCCTGAATATGCATGAAATATTTGCCACTGTGCGTTAAGCAACCAACAATCAATCAATCAATCAATCTGCTAAGCACGCGACATTTAAGAGTAAGAGCAAACCTGGATGGATTAGAGTCACGTGACAAATAATATGTCCGGGTATAGCGACATAACTTCCTGCGGGTTGTTTGTTACCTTTTCAACTAGCACGTAAAAATGTATGGCAACGCAGGGTTTATAATTATATCGCTATAAGCATGTCTTCGTCTCGATATTCCTGTAATATTTGACACTGGACGTTAAAAACCAATTCATCCCCCTCCTCCTCCTCCTCCTCAACATCATCTTAAAAAAAATAATGCATGACTTCAAAAAGGTATATCTAGACACTTTTTAAACGTGAAATGAAAGCATATTATGACATGTGAGTCTTCAGATAAAAGATGAAATAATATGTTTGACGACAGTGTTGTGACAATCCTTAGATATTATGAGAAATCGATATATTAATGTCAAGTAACCTGATAAATATGTTGCAGGGTTTTCCAATGTGTCTCTATAAACAACATAACTTGTATATCTCTTTTCAACTAGACGTGGCTGTGTATTTATACATCAAGCACAACCAAACAGTCTTAGTTAAAATCCATAGAATTTTTTAATAATTTGTCAAAATGTATGGGTCACCAAGCTTTTTTTCTCGCTACAGGTTGTGCAAAATTGTCAAAATTAGTCACTAATCTCAATCGAAAGTAACCTTTTTTTCATTAGGAGAGAGAGAAAGAAAGTATGCAGGATTTGAATGATTTTTTTTTACTGAAAAACAAAAATAAATTACCTTCTACAAAAATAGATATCCATGCCTTTTCACCGCTTCTCGAATAATTTTCTTTCCGAACGAAGTGCCATTAATTACATAATAGTTATTGAAAAAACTGGTCATTATCGTGATATATGGACTGCCCAAAGGACAGTGGTATTGACTAAGACAGCTACAATGACTGAGTCGTAGGCGAGGTCATTGTCGCTGTCGCAGTCAATACCACTGTCCTACGGGCAGTCCATGTATCACGATAATGACCAGTTCTTCAATAACTATTCTGTTTATTTCATTGAGGAACCATGTTTTTAAAAATTCTCATAAACTCAAATTGTTCAAAACAAACTCAGTTATTGAACGATTTCTATAGGAAAGAGTGAAGACCAGCCATAGTGATAACTACAAAAAATGTATAAGTCACTGCCATTCATGTAAGTGTACTTTTAAAAACAAAATAAAGTTTTCTATAATTTTATAATTAACGAAAATATATGGTAAACAATTCAACAACTTCAATATAAAATTGAAAACAGGAAAATGTTTTATTAAAGGGACATCTCTATCAACAGAGAAACCACGCCCCACCGGTCATTTACATGTAAAAGTCTGTTAACGACCGGTTTTCTGGTCCGTTTTTTTTTCTGTTAAAGACCGATAGAAATTATAACTGAAGAATAAAGAATGTCATGTGGCCCCTTGTTATCCAATAAGAGAAGCTAATTCTTAACCGATATGAAATAATACCTGATAAGGGAAAATGAAATAAATAACAGCCCTGACAATAAGGATGTTAAATGATAGTTATTTTGAAAATTAAATGAGTTCGTAAGGGAGAAACACATTAAATACGTAACTCAGCCAAGAGTAGAGAAATTATCGCCAGCTATCAAGGAAGTATGTGTGGTGTTTATACCAAAGACTCAATAATTTAGTTAGTGATTTCATTGTTTTGATTACGTTTCTGTTCACGGTTTTGTAATGCATGTGGGTTCCGCATTTTTATTTTTTATTTTATTTTTGCTGCTACTGGGACTCTCCTTGTCGACTGTCAAATGATCCTAGATTTTCTTTATTTTAAAATTTCCCATATTTTATTCTAAGTCCTATAAATTTCCGAAACGAAAATATGCTAGTAAAGGTGTTAATTGCTTTTACTTCTATAATATTAACCTGGACTGAAAAAAGCAATATTTGCATCCATGCATGTGATTTTTTACTTGATTGAGTTATTTCTTTTATTAAATTATTATCCCAACAAATGATAAAAATGAAAAGGGTCTGTCCTATTTTTGTATATTTTAGATACTGTGTTGAAATGCACGTATATTTGTGTTTTCCTAAATACCCCCAAAAATGTTTTGATAATTGACAAAGATTTCATTCCAGACATCTTGTACTGTTTCGTGTGTTCAATTCACGTATTATAATTATTTCAATTATCATTTTTAGCCGTGAATTTTCATTTTATTCTTGGTTTTGGTTTTGTTTTCAACCAGCTTTTATTGATATCTTTTTCCAAAAGTTTGAAGAACAAGGGCGCTGTATGGGAAATTAAGCCGTTCTCGTCAAAACTATTTTTCGAAAAATTTACACACTGAGATTAAAAAAAAACCACTGAGATTAAAAAACCTAAAGACACACACTGAGAATTAAAAATGACAAAATTTCACACTGAGATTTCATACAGACGCACTGAGATTACAAAAAATGAAAAACACACACCGAGAATTGAAAATTACACAGAGATTTCAAAAAGGCACACCGAGATGAAATAAACTGAAAAACACACACTAAGAATATGAAATTACACACTGAGAATTTAGAATTACACACTGAGATTTGTGCTGGATTGTTATAAAAAACGATACTGTACACAATAATTATGTTTTCTATACACGCTTGAAAAGGTGAACAAAACAACACCAACATCAATATTAAAAAAGGAAACAGTAAATACAAGTATCAATAAATATTTCGGATAACAGTTACATGCAGTTCTCTTTCATCTATATGATTTAAAATGAATCTTATCAATCTATTCTGATTTTACTAAAACAGTCTTCAATGTAATACAAATTAAAAACGGAACCACGCTTGTAAAATTCTTAAATTTCCAAATTCATGCAAATTTAATATTTTCTACGGAACTGTGTATCTGTGCATCCTAAATGAAACCAACGCACCCAACTAGTTGGTTAGCACTGTGCGATTTGAACTACACCTCTTTATTGATCCTATTTGGTGCCAACGTTTTAATTTTCTTATCCAAAATCTTTCCCGAGTGATTCTCTCCTCCCTAGACTAAGCAGTGATGTGGTCTGTGATGGTAATGTTCAGTCGATTGAGATCTGTCTTAGTGTGGCAAGAGGATCACAAATGTCGACTGAGAGGAAGATTTCAAATTGGTTTACATTTATAGTTACTACGATGGCCGTTTATACGTTTGTAA